CTCTCTGTGCTAGAATGGAAGCCCACTGCAGGCAGAGACTTTTATTTAGCTGTATATCCAAGCACCTGAACTGAATAGCTGGTACAGGGGAAGCCCTCAAACAGCATTTGCTGGGCCTAGAATCATATTTGTTGTTCATGAGGCAAACTCAACTTTCAGGATTCCAACTGTCCTCTGCTCTGAGTTGCCACCTCCTAAGTCCTCAAGGACGGAACACCTTCTACATGGGGATCCCACAGCACCTTACCCACAAGAGATCATACAAAAGCCTCAGAGACATTGCATCACCACATACCTTGAGCAACCCAATTATAGAGAATCCAGAATCTAGCTGTATTTATTCACAGTATTTCACCCATGTTGTATAAACACATACTGATAACTTTTAAGACTTGTCATTGGCCCTTATCTCTGGCCCTGTACACCAAACCACGCAGTCCACACATTCTAAGATAGAATCAGAAATGTTGCTGGTATTATTTATATTGTCACCTTGTATGGAGTAAATGTTAACAGCATTATTAATAAGGACTCAAAACACAAGCAATCTAGCAACAACATCACACAATGGGTATGGGGTCCTGAAAACTCATTATTGTTGTTAGGTGTCATTGAATCCATTCTGACTCACAGTGACCCTATGATCAACAGAACAAAACACTGCCCAGTCCTGCATCATTCTATGATTAAGCCCACTTTGGCTGCCACTATGCCCATCCATCTTGTTGGGAGATCGTCCTCTTTTTCGCTGGCCTTCCACTTTACCAAGCATGATGTCCTTCACCAGGGACTGATCCCTCCTCATAACATGCCCAAAGTATGAGAGACAAAGTCTCGTCACCTTAGCTTCTAAGAAGCAGTATAACTGTACTTTTTCCAACACAGATTTGTTTGTTTTTCTGTCAGTCCATGGTACTTGTAATATTCTTTTCCATCACTATAACTCAAATGAACCAATTCTACAGTGTTCCTTATTCATTGTCCAACTTTCACATGCATATGTTAGCTGTTAAAAATACAATGACTTGGGTCAGATGCACCTTAGTCCTCAAACTGATAGCTTTGCTCTTGAACACTTTAAAGAGGTCTTTTGCAGCTGATATGCCCAATACAATAGTAATTTGCTTTCCTGACTGCTGCTTACATGAGTGCTGACTGTGGATCCAAGCAAAATGAAGTTTCTGACAATTTCAATCTTCTCTCCGTTTACAATATTTTTGTTGGTCCAATTGTGAGGATTTTTTGTTTTCTTTACATGGAGGTGCAATCCATACTGAAGGCTGTATTTGATCATCAGCAAGTACTTCAAGATCTCTTTGCTTTCAGCAAGCAAAGTTGTGTCATCTGCATGTCACAGGTTGTTATTGAATCTTCTCCTATACTGATGTTGCATTCTGCTTAGATTATTTGCTTAGCATACAGACTGAATAAGTACAGTGGAAGAATACAACCCTGGTGCACACCTTTCCTAATTTTAAACAATTCAGTACTCCCTCGTTCTGCTTGAATGACTGCCTCTTGGTCTATGTATGGGTTCTTCCTGAGCACAATTAAATGTTCTAGAATACCCATAGTTCACAACATTATTCATATCCTGCAAAATTAGTGTGGCACAAAATTAGAGATCAAAGGTTCCACAGATGCAGAAGGTTTAACTCTAAACAATTGATGTTAGTACTATCCAAATCCTCTTATTAATTATGTTTCCATTTTTAGGTGAGAAGAACCAGAAGTTTAAAAAAATTATTGTTGGATGTTTCATTACTAAAAAAGGAAAGACTACTTAACAACAACAACAACAAACTTGTTTCAAATAGTACTTCTCATGCCTAATGTAATACGGTCACCACATTACCCATTAACCTAAGGATGCAGGAGCTCTGGTAGCATAGTGGGTTACACGTTGGACTGCTAACCGTGAAGTCAATTTGAAACTCACAGCTTTGGAAACCCTAATCAGTGTCGCTATGAATTAGAACCGACTCCATGACACAGAACTATCATCACCAGGAAGATGCATTTCAGTTTGTTCCTAAGCTGTGATCACCAGTTGTTGTTGGCAGCTTCCACAATACATTCTTCCTTGAAGCATAGGACAAAATCTACTTCTTTTAAGAAAATTAAGTAACCAACTGTATTCAAATTATTTCAGTATTTAATCCCAAAAAGCCTAAAAATGTCAGTGTCTGTACTATTAAGAGAAACAAAACATCTGGACAGTGATATATATGCTCTTTGATTATTGGATTCATAGTCTATCAAAATAAAGAGTTATTGTTGTTAGGTGCCACCGAGTCAGTTCCAACTCATAGTAAATCCATACACAACAGAATGAAACGTTGCCTGTCTTGCTCCATTCCAACAATCATTGCTACGCTTAAGCCCATTGCAGCAGCCATTGTGGAGAAAATTTTCTTATGCTAGGACAAAGCCAGGACTCTCGGCAGCTCTCGAAATTCAGTTCAGTGTTTCTCATCCACAGCACTAATGGCACTGTGGGCTGAATAGCTCTTAGCTGAGAAGGGCTGTCCTGTGTATTACAGCATGTTTAACAGCATCCCCAGCCTCCACCTACAAATAGCAATTACCCAAACATACATTTTTGACATTCAGACAATGTCTCCAGACATCGTCAAATGTCCCCCTGGGGAGTAAAATCAGAACAAAACCGTCCTTAACTGAGAACAATTGGTTCAGTTCAATAGCTAAAATGTACTCTAAAAAATGTCGGAACTTTAGAAATGACCACAGCTGACAACTTTTAGGTTTTCAAAAAAATCTTCCCAAATATACCAATGACCAAATAATCCTTCTCATCTTCTTGTTAAGTACCAACAAGTCTGCTCCAATTCACAGCAACCTTGTATGAGGTTTCTAAGGAGCGACTGGTGAGTTTGAACTACTGACCTGGAGGCTTAGACCAACCTTGTGGTCTAGTACTTATCTGACAGTGCCACCCCAGGACAATCCTTCTCATAGTCAATGCCATTTTTGCATGTACCTGTTTAGGAGTCCTGGTGCGGCACTGTGGGTTGATGCACTGGACTGTAAGGTTGATTTGAGTCACAAAGTCGGTGGTTCAAGCTCACCAGCTGCTCCTCAGAAACCCTATCGAGGGTCCTATGGGTCGGAACTGACTCGACAGCCCGTAACAACAACATACCTGTATACATTTCATGGTATTTAGGGTTGTTTTCAACATACAGAAGCCCTAGTGACACAGAAGTGAAAATTCTGTTCTGTAAGGGAACGATGTGGCAGTCTAGACCATAAATACTTAGGCGTCTTGAGACATCTACTCCGGCTTACTCATAGGGTCAATATGCGTCCGAATCAACTTGGCAGTTGGTGCGTTTTAACATATGGTTTGTTTTAAGAGAAACAGGGCAATTATTGCTAAAAAAAAAAAAGCAATAATTATAATGCTCATGAGAAATCATGTGAGCTTGCTGAGTGCCTGACGCTGTTCTAGTGTACTTTAACAGACATTAACCCCATCCGTGTTCAGCAGCTGTTCTTTTGGCTGTTGATTTTTGTTAATTGCTGTCACATCGATGCCAACTCATAGCGACCCTATATAGCGTTTCCAAGGAGAAGCTGGTGAATTTGAACCACCGACCTGCAGCTGAAACCAACCTTTCAATCCAGTGCATTATCCCACGGAGCCACAGCAGGACTCCAGTGTTCAGCAGTTGTTCCTAACTATTCTAATCTGCATTCCACAGTTTATTACATAAGAACTATACCATTTCTACTAGGCCCCTCTCCCAGACACCATGTCCACTTAAAACAGTTCACAATACTGAAATCATCATTTCTGACAAAGTATTTGCAAACCCATATGGGAGGGGCAGGAAAGGCCTCTGTGAGTAACAAGGAGGAAAGTTCAAGGCTTTTAACTCGTCACATCTTAACTCAATAATGTTCCTTTTCCTTTTCTTTAAACTCAATGACGTACGTGTCTTAGGTATAAGCAAACGTAACATAGCTTGAGAAATTAAGAAATTTTAATGTTGTTTATAATTTCTGGTTATTCTTCTATCTTTTTTTCCATTATTACTCAGAGAATTAGAAATAGTGGGGTCTAACAACAACCACCTTGGAGTCCTTGTGTGACGCTGTAGGATAAACCATGGACTGCTAACCACAAGGTCAGCAGTTCAAACCCACCAGCTACTCCACAGAAACCCTATATAGGGTGGCTGTAAGTCAGCACCAACTTGATAGCCCTTAACAGCAACTACCACCACTGATTCAGACAGGCGTGGGTGGCACAAACAGCTATTCACGGGAGTACTAACTGAAAGGCCGGTGGTTCAAATCCACCCAAAAACCTAGTAGCATAAACTGGCAGAATCTCTTAAAAACATCACTGAAGAATTCACCTTGAAAGAGCAGACAAACAGAATCTACAGGCACTGTGAAGGATTATTTACACTAACCAGTGACCTTCTCTGGAAAAATCAAACAAGTAAATTTCAGAAAAGGGGAAATCACCGGCCAATCCCACACGTCTGATAAATAATGTCCACAGAAATGTCAAACAGAAGGTCGCATTTAGTCCTTTTATCCAAACACCATTATACAACACAAAACTTGAAATTCTTCTAGGACAAATGAGACTATGACAATGCTGCTTGGGCTCATTATAATAATAAACAATGCATATTCCTATTTTGTTTGCATATTCCCATTTTATTTGCATGTTCCTACTTTATTTGCAAAAATAATTAGCAACAGCTGCTTCTTACACAGGATTTTTAACAGAACCCAAATAGTTCAGAACATAAAGAGAGACTAATGCCAAATGAAGTATTATTCTGCCTTTTATTTTTTATTATTAAATAGTGTAACAATTAACTTCTACATTCTTTTATCTGGCAAAAAAAAAAAAAAAGAAACTGGAAAAAAAAATGTTCCTCCAAGGAGACAGCTGGACACATCTGTCAACTACATCAATGGAGTGAAAGAGCAATTAAATGCTTTAATATTGTACTTACATGTGAGGGCTCAGTTCATAAAAATTTCTGTTCCTGTAATCTTCCACTTTCTCTGGAGAATAAATGGGCAATGACCGGTAGGGGTTAACAGATATAACCACGCTTCCAATGTATGTCTGTAAATAAAAGAATAAAAAACACTCATTAGTACGCAGGATATATTTTAATATGGTAAACTTTCATATTGTATTTTTCATCCTTTAACAAAATAACACTTGTTCTAATGCTTGGTCATTCATCTTCTACTTTCAAGAAAGCTTTACATCTCTGAATATAGATGGTCTATGTCTTAGTTCTCTACTATTACTACAAGAGAAATACCAGAAATGAATGGCTTTAACAAGCAAGAGATTTACTTCTTCATAGTTTCGGAGCTAAAATTCCAAATGTAAGGGTCTGTTAGCTCTGGACTAAAGTCTGTATCTGTCCTGAGCTTTTGGTACTGGGTGAATGAAGCTTGGCGTCTCTCTTCAAAGCCCCACCTCCAACCCCTTCTGCTTCTTATATGGAACGCTGGTGGGATGTTATAGGATGAACACAGGACTGCTAACCACAGAGTCAGCAGTTCTAACCCACCATCTGCTCTCTATCTGCAACCCTATCTAGGGTCCCAATGAGCTGGAGCCAATTCAAAGGCACGCAGCAACAAATTTTAAATGAAATTGATTTATAAACACTATACTAATCAGAAGGAGCTCTGGTAGCGTAGTGGTTACAAGTCGGCCTGCTAACCTCATGATCAGCAGTTCGAAACTACTAGCTGTTCCACAGGAGAAAGATGAGGCTTTCTGCTCCCATAAAGATTTACAGCTTCCCATAAAGATACACAGGGTCACTATAAATTGGAACCAACTCCAAGGCACCACACCAACACCATACTAATCAGAGTCCTGGTGTGGCACTGTGGGTTAATGTGCTGGACTGCAACAGTCAGTTTGAACCACAACGTTAGCAGTTCAAGCTCACTAGTCACTCCTTGGAAATCCTATACAGGTCCAGTATGGGCACTTAACAACAACAACATACTAATCTAATCCTGGACTCCTGTTGTGGCACTATAGAATCAGCATTGTACTGTGAACCACAAAGGTTGGCAGTTCAAACCCACCAGCTGCTCCACTGTGAGTCAAGGCTGGAAGACACTTAACAACAACAGTTCTGATGTGACACTATAAAATAAACACAAAGCTGCTGACCCCAAGGTCTGTGGTTCAAAGTGACTTGATAGTAGTTAACAACAACAACACAAGAATCCTGTCCATTAACATAACAAAGACACCCATTCCAAGCTAGTTACATAGGCACAGAGGTCAAGATTCACAGAAGAAGTTTTAGGGAGGCTCGATATAATCATAACTATATGTAAATAGAAAACATAGATTTATGCATTTAAAATACTTTTCAAAATAAACCTGACAGATTTACTTACGGCTCTAGGTTAAGAGCTCTTCAAAGCTTATCATAGTTGCCAGGAACTAGCCAGGAACAGGCGAAATGTCATCACCAATCAGTTGACTGTAAGCAATCTTAGTGCTCATTCCTTCATTTCAGTTAGAACTGACTGGTGTTTCCTTCTCTCATCTTTATCCTCCTGTTGGAGTCAACAGTAACCCAGAGTTTTCCTTCACCTCTACCCACAACCCAGTACACAAAAAATAGGGTCTTTAGCACTTCCCTGATACAAACTTGTTAATATCTATGATGGGATCAGACCACACACAATTCAACATCAGTGCCACAGCTATCCCTTGAATAATCAAAACCATAATTACATATCATAGCTAATGTACTACTGTCTCAAGCTTGAAACATAGCTCTGTACTCTCTGAGGGATCAATACTATATTATATCGGATGCTGACTTTCTTGCACTGCAAACCAGAACATTGCTTACCTTCCTTTCCACTTTGACCTTAAATTTCTACAAGAGTAGTATTCATTTCCACCACTTGTCGGTCAGTTTGTCCTACTGTGGTGGCTTGGGAGTTGCTGTGAATCTGGTATCTTAGGCATTAGTGAGCTGAAATGGACTGATATTGGCCATTTTGAATCTGATGACCACATGGTTTACTATGCCAGGAATGACAAATTAAAGATGAATGGTGTTGCATTCATTGTCAAAAACAACATATCCGGATCAGTCATGAGGTACAACGCTGTCTGTGATACACAATATCCATGTGCCTACAGGGAAGCCCTGGTAGCGTAGTGGCTACAAATCGGGCTGTGAACCTTAAGGTCAGCGGTTCGAAACTACCATCCGCTCCGCGGGAGAAAGATGAGGCTTTCTACTCCCGTAAAGATTTACACCCTCGGAAACCCTGTACAGG